ACCAAGAATACATACATGTAATTAATGCATTAACTATTATCATTTTAAGATCCTCAGAGTTGACTGCACCGTCTTGTAGTTACTGTCGAACATCGTTGACAATGTCCGCAGTCAATCGATTGTCATTTTTCAACGTCTTGGCGATTGACGTCACCAACGTCCTTGAAAATGTCTTTTTTCTGTCTCTCCCTTACTTGTTTCTATTTCTCTATGATCCTTTCTTAATCTTTTAAGCTAATCAAAAAAATATGCTGTGGCTTTCTGGAACTTTTCCCTTGATAGCCATAATCTTTTTCTACGTTTTAAACAGTTTCTCGTCTTAAATTTGACAATTTTTTCCTATTGATCGATTTTCGAGACATTCCGACGACATAGTTTTAACGCGAGTATTTCATTAACATGTGACGTTTGAATTGTGATTGTAAATGTAAATATGGTTTAAATGAAGTCATTGTTACTGACAACGTCACAGATATGGTACATGACGTTTTGGCGTATTTAGAAATCTAAATGTGCCATATTGTAAAATACACGCAGCATAAAGCGCCTCATGTCAAGGCGAATTTTCGCACTGCGCCGGGTGTGCGTTACCATGGTTTTTGAATTTGCTGTTACGGACAAGCTATACAGATATCGGTACAATTATAGCTATGCTATATTAAATCAGATATTGGTATAATTATAGCTATGCTATGCTACATCAGATATCGGTATAATTACAGCTATGTTATGTTAGATCAGATATCGGTATAATTATAGCTATGTTATGTTAGATCAGATATCGGTATAATTATAGCTATGTTATGTTAGATCAGATATCGGTATAATTATAGCTATGTTATGTTAGATCAGATATCGGTATAATTACAGCTATGTTATGTTAGATCAGATATCGGTATAATCATAGCTATGTTATGTTAGATCAGATATCGGTATAATTACAGCTATGTTATGTTAGATCAGATATCGGTATAATTATAGCTATGTTATATTACATCAGATATCGGTATAATTATAGCTATGTTATATTACATCAGATATCGGTATAATTATAGCTATGTTATATTACATCAGATATCGGTATAATTATAGCTATGTTATATTACATCAGATATCGGTATAATTATAGCTATGTTATATTACATCAGATATCGGTATAATTATAGCTATGTTATATTACATCAGATATTGGTATAATCACAGCTATGTTATATTACATAAGATATCGATATAATCATAGCTATGTTATATTACATCAGATATCGGTATAATTATAGCTATGTTATATTGCGTCAGATATCGGTAAAATGATAACTATTTTATATTACGTCAGATATCGGTATAATTATTGCTATGTTATATTAGATCAGATATCGGTATAATTACAGCTATGTTATATTAGATCAGATATCGGTATAATTACAGCTATGTTATGTTAGATCAGATATCGGTATAATTACAGCTATGTTATGTTAGATCAGATATTGGTATAATTATAGCTATGTTATATTAGATCAGATATCGATATAATCATAGCTATGTTATGTTAGATCAGATATTGGTATAATTATAGCTATGTTATATTACATCAGATATCGGTATAATCATAGCTATCAGATATCGATATAATTACAGCTATGTTATATTACGTCCGATATTGGTATAATCATAGCTATGTTATATTACATCAGAAATTAGTAGAATTAAAGATGTGTCATATATTACATCAGATATCGGTACAATTATAGCTATGTTATATTACATCAGATATCGGTATAATTATAGCTATGTTATATTACATCAGATATCGGTATAATTATAGCTATGCTATATTACATCTGAAATCGGTATCACTATAGCTTAATGTTATACTACATCAGATATCGGTGTAGTGTACAAGTTTAATTATTATACTGTATCAACTTAACTAATACGAACCTGTATTTTCATAAATTGTAAACATTTATCCAGTAACGAGGGCCCGTCACTTCTGTAAAGTGGCTAAGTTCGGACAACATGCCTCGTACCGCTGTGGGTTCGAATATCCTGCTGGAGGCTGTTTAGCTTACTAAAGATAGATCGAGCCTGAAATGGTGCATCAGCAACTTTAATCTTCATCCAACAGTAGAGCAAGAAAATCACAAACAGTATGTGCTTGACATAGACCGAAATAAATAAGTTTATTTGAATACTTATCAGATTTAAAAATGGCAAATCGTTTAAAAATTCGACAATATTGACAAAGTGTTGCAGTGCTTTTACATCTGTATACATGTATATAATACTATTGATTTGAATCTTTTTTATAAGTTTTTACACATTTGATTTTCATGTTTTTGATATATCGATGTATTATCAATGTTTTTATAACTATTCATGTATTGATAAATTTTAAGACAAAAATAACTTATAAGTTTCTCCTTGAAAACAGATGTTACAATAAAACGTGTTATATATAACTTGCGATGTGTAAAAGCATTGTTTCAAACAATAAACAAATGTTGCATATTTACAATATTTGAAAAAATGAATACACGAACAATGTTGCTTTGCAATATTAAGATATCCAGATATACGTATAACGATGTAAAATGCTTGTGGATGCCAAGTCCGAAGGCATGATGTTGGCCAGATTGTGTCTTTGTCAGTTTAATAAAGCAGGAAGTTCACGGCACACTACCATACCATTAATGTTTTTGTTTGTTTTGTTTTTTTCCAACTGATCGCAAAGTAATTGAACAAAAAGTGAAGATTTCGTTTTTTGTTAAATTCAACAAAATACCAGGATAAGATAACCCTACCATTTCAAAAGCCAAACCTAGATATCAATTGTGTTTAGGTGATTTCCCTTGTAATGCTCACAACCGTGCTGTTTGTGCCGACTGGCGGCCGTAAAAAGTCTCCCACCCATTCAATGTGGCGGTCGTAAAAAGTCTCCTCACTTTTTCAGAATATCTCATCTTCGGAGGATTACTCGGCCATTGTCTTTCTTACAAAACTGATTGACTGAGAGTTGTAGGACACTGTGTTTGTGTTCTCCGTTGCTGATCTTTGAACACTCAAATTTCCAAGACTATTACCCTCCAGGAAGATTCCCATCCCGAACAATTTCTCCCCCTACGCATATACATTTGATGCGCGGTGCATCGTTTTGTGCGATGATTTTGTGGTTGGATGTTAAATGACTGTGTTCCTGAAACATTCAATGCTGGTCCTAGTTGATAGTTACGTTCATATTTCTATCAGATTGACATACATACAAAATAATAAAATAAATTAATTTTAAAGGCAAATTAAGCCTCAAAATTGACTACAGTTTTTTTTTCCTTTCAGGGGAAAGGCAAACATGTCTGTTACAATATTTAAATAATCGATTAAGGCAATGTTAATTGCTGATCACAGACAAATCTAATGCTTAATGTGAAAGAATTTGTCACAAAAGTAGGAAAATGCAAATAGAGTAGTAATGTGACTCCCATACAAAATATCACGTTAAATTTGTCCTTAAAGCAAAATAAGTAAAACATGGTTCAGAGATGAAATCATGATTAACATTTTTGAAATTATAACAGTACACTTAAAAGGAAAAAGCTTTTGAGAAATCTGAAATGAAAATAGCATTGTTTGAGCTTATGGGCCTAAGACTTGTTTCAATCAATACATTGTAATCTCCAGGGTTTGTTCAAGTCACATGACTTGCTTTAAAACTACTCGGTGATTCTGTTGGCGTCTAAATTTCGTTCATATTTACATTTCAAACCCAAAATATATAAAATTTATACAGAAATTCATGCTTGGACTTTCAGAAATGTCATTTTTGAGTGATTTGAGTACATAAGGTCATTTTAATATTTTTTGTCATTAATTTGCCTGAGTATCCCTTTAAGAATTTGGTCCTAGACAGTTCAAACAGACAGTTCAGACAAACAGTTCAAACAGACAGTTCAGACAGACAGTTCAGACAGACAGTTGAAACAGACAGTTCAGACAGACAGACAGACAGTTCGGACAGACAGTTCAGACAGCACATCTCAGCAATTGGGTCAGTTAATATACCAAGCTGTATCGATAATTGGCCAATTTATCGTAATATTCGTGACTTCGCCCCGAAAGTCCCCGAAATTGGCCAATTATCGTGTCTTTGCCTTTCGTATTTTGAGGCAAAGACACGACGACACGAGAAATAAAGGGCGCCGATACGAAGTTTTTTTAAAAGTACTTGATCTACTTTGGAGTGGCATTATTGATAACTCAACAAGATGAGTATTCTAGCATGGTTTTGGTTTTATTCTATATTGTAGAACGTCTTTCACATTTGACGTTCTCTCAGCAAAGCATTTTAGCAGGACAATAGTTTCTTTCAATAATTCAAATTTACTTCATTGGCTGCTTTGCCGGCAGAGCATTTAAGGGGGACATGCGTTACGGATGCCAAATCAATATGTCATGTTGAACAGCCAGTAGAATCTTTGACACGGCTCGATATTTCGGTATGCCAGATTTCGTTGCTTTGCCAATAGAGCACTTTGGTAGGATTTTAGTGCAGAATTCCCTGCTTAGTCGCTTTGCTAGCATTCTGGTAGAACCTTTTATTTCCATTTTTATTTCAGGCTATATCATGCTAGGTTGCTTTGCATGGGGTTTTCTTTTTAAATTTAATCGATAAGTGAATAATATAGGATTTTAAAGGTAAAATGTAAAATGTTTGATGGAAATTCACAGAACGAAAGTCCTGCTAAATTCAAATCACAAAGGCAACCAGTAGGACTACTAACTTTAGTCCCTTTAGTCTGCTGAATTTCATATACATGAACATGTGCTCCCGGGACCGGTTTAAAGGTTTATAACATATATATATATATATATATATATATATATATATATATATATATATATATATATATATATATATATATATATATATATATATATATATATATATATATCAGCGACGTCATGTGCTGAAAAGTTCTTGTTACAGAAAAAATAAGATAAACTGATTCGTTTGAAATAATGGTTTACTTTTGCGTAAAAATTATGTATACATAACAAGCCATTTTTAAGACATTTATAACAACTGAATAAATTTAACTGCTTTTATGTTTAATTAATAAACACGTACGGTGCCGTGTAATTAATGCCTCATCAATATCACAGAGAGCTTGAACTACTACATCTTTATGTACATATTAATATCATTAAACAATTTGGGGGTTTAAAATCCCCTTCTTTCCCTGCATCTCTATACATTTTTGGCAAAGTGTCTTTGAATGTGTTTGCTGCATATTATTACGGCTCGGTCACATAACTCGAAAATTAAACTTGTTCTGTTCAATTTTGATTAAAAACTATTTTTAATAGAATATGAAGCGTTATTAAAAAAATAAGATATTTAAAACGTTATAAAGTTCCGTTAAAACACGTTTTTGCGTTATATACATAGGTGAATGTCCAACTTAAAAGTATGCAACCTACGACAGATGTCCAAGATGCTACAAACTTTTAGGACTAGGACTTCCAATGGAAAATGTTTTCAATCTTTTATTCTTGGGACAGCAAAAGGTAGTCCAATTATTATAACCACTAACACCTTGCTTGCAATATTCTAGCGCTAAGTTACGAACTCTTTCTATTTCAGTTTTTGCCATTCACACCAGGACGAAAAAAGAACATATTCGTAAAGTTAATTCTAAAGGCTATGCTATTTTTCATAACCAACAAAAGTCCTGAATCGCGTGAAAGTTGCTTGCATGTTCACCGACTCATTCTTTCTGTTCAATTTTACTGTCTCTTTTTTTTCTTTGACAAGTGTGACATATACCATTTAGCCTCATTTTCATAGGAAAAGAAAATGTTGTTAAAAACGGCATGAATCAAATCCCAGCGGAAGCTTGCTTTCGTTTTTTCTTTTGTCGAATATCTGCACGTATTTTGTCTATGAATTTCAATTCGTCCGTGAGCATTGCATCACAATCGCTTTGTAAAACCTGAAATGGTCCATTCCAAGAGGATTCGTCTACATCGAAAGATTTTTTGTCTCCGTCGTTAGTAACACAGTAATGTTCGACTGACTTTCTTACATTCCGGAAATGCTCTACCTCGTCTCGAAATTCTGACCCAAGCGAAGACACCGTCTCTATAAATTTTCGTTTAAAAAATCTATAAATAGCAACATCAAGAAAATTTCTCTCCTCGAATTTGTTCTTATCGTTCTCAGATATGCCCAATGCTCGTTCGGTCGGATGTTTATTGATATTCAATGGAATGTATAACACATCCTCAAGGCGCCAGTGCAGACGTCTTTTAAATAAAATAATTGACTCATCAAAATGTTCTACTAGCATGACTAATGGGAATTTAGAATCTAGATATTGTAAATAATGTTCTATTTTTTCAGAGTCTGTAGAATGAAAGCCCCTTGGAAACCCGAAATCCATCGCCATAGAATTTCTTGTCAAACTGAACACATTTCGGTCATACAATTCCGGATATCGGATTAAGTCTTTTATGAAGTTTTCCTTTGGCACCATTTCAAGATATTGTACCTTCCAAACATCCCTGTGGAAGTATGCCCCTGAGATCATTAACGATAAAGGTTCTCTAACTATTGCTATATTTACAGTATCATTTGGCAAAATTTCATTATACACCGACTCGTTATACACCGAGTGTAATGCTAAGATATCGTAATATCCACTTCCGCTTTTAAAAAGTAGTTCATGCTCTCGACCGTAAGTTGAAAACTTGTATTTGTTTCCTTCGATTGGCATGACAAACGACAAATGCCGCTTCATTCCGAAACGAAACAAAATATTTTGGACGGTACTACCACCAGCTTTGTGAACTTTTAAAAATCCAATATGGTGGACTTCAAGTGACGTCATATCCGGATTTGTGTACCGATTGAAAATGTAGTCGGATACCTTGTTTGGAAGGAAAGAAAAGTACTTCTTGATGACATACAATGTTACAACAGCTCCTATTAGAAACAAAACACATCCGGTTACCCATGACCTTGATCTGAAAGTAGAAATTTATAAGTATTGGCACAAGATAATAAATTGTAGACAGAAGTTTTATGACGGCTAGATAAAATACACTGACACTGAACATAATGCAAAACAACAACAACAACAACAAAAGATGCGTGTGTATACTGAATATTTTCTTCGTAAATACTATAAGAAGTATCCAGTGAGTTATCTTTTTATATAAAATTTTTAAATGGTAAAACTTTTTTGTTTTCATAATCTTACAGTCGATTCTTGTTAGATCTGTTAAATCGGATGTCTCTATTTCATATACATGGATATTGTGCATTAACAGAACAAAATGTTCCGGAATAAATATATATTGCAAAAACATAATAGAATGTCCAGGAATGGATATATTTCATAAACAGAATTAAATGTTCCGGAACAAAATATTATGCTTTAAAAGTCCTATTTTAAGCGTTAAAATCGTTTTTCAGTTATTTCCTGACCGCGCCATTTACTTTTAACAATTGTTTAAACATATTTCTTTTTATTCTTCAGACATGTAATTCTTTTTCGAACTGCAACCAATACGGTATTTTGATATTCTAAAGACCGCAGCTATATAGCTTCATAAATGCGAGCTTTATTTAGAATAATATAACTATATTATACCAGAAATAGATCTAGTAGAAAGAAAAAATTTAATTAAAGAATGCGTCCAATTTTATAGGACTGTATTTTCATTTCTACCCCTCATTTAGATTAGCATAACAAAAGATGTTTACCAAATACGACGCGTATGAATTTAAAAAATGGTTAAAGATATTTAAAGGCCCATTATACTTCAGAAGTGCTTTCACTTTTATTTCTCAAAGGCTTTGTAATTTTGATGTACTTTTATAGTATCCACTTATTATTGTTCTTTCTTCAGGTAACAAGCATCTAACATTTCTTTTAAACCGTCGTTTAAACATTATAAAATTCATGTTTGTCCTTTCTAAAGAAGTATAATTGAGCAGCGTCACGACAAAACCAACATAATTGGTTTGCGACCAGCATGGATCCAGACCAGCCTGCTGTTCGCTTACCAACTCTATTACAAGTAGAGAAACTGATAGCGAACAATATGGATCCTGATCAGACTGCGCGGATGAGCAGGCTGGTCTGGATCCATGCTAGTCGCAAACCCACTATGTTGGTTTTGACGTGACACGGCTCAAATTGTATTTGTTTCTGAAGCATAATGTGCATTTCAGCATGCATGCACACACATTTCAAATGCATAATATAATTCCCAAGCTGTTAAGGTGACAAATAATGGTTAACATAATATAGAAAATATAAATTGATTTCAATAATTTTTGCAAACAACCATTACGTAAGTTCGGCAGATTTCTTATTTTCTAAAATCAAAAACGAATTTTTAACACAAAGCCAAACTTTTTAATGACTTGTGGAATATATAAAAAAAACTTGTTTTTGTGGCATTTAAAGGCTTATTATCTATTTAATAAATACCTTTTATAATTCAAATGTATAGCAAAGCCCTCCATTTATATTTACAGAAACATAAATAATCCTCACTATAGAAAACAAACATATGACATTTTTTAATATACATGTATATATCAGAAAAAAGACGCTATAAGAAATATAGCACTTCAATAGGTAGTTATGGGATATGTCTAATATACACTATAAATGTAGGACAACTTATTCTCAATACCGGTGCGTGCGAATATTAATTATACATGTATTAAAAAGACTGTCATACCAGTATAAGTGTACCGTATATTTTACATTGACTAAAGATCGATAATTCAATACTATAAATAAATCTCTTTATTATTTTATAAGATCAAATTAAGATATACAATAAGCTCGAAAAGAGCTGGATAATTTTGAAAATTTGTGAATGACACTTATATGTTTGGCCTCGTGTTTACTCTAGTTTAATAGTCTATATACAATTTTACAATAAATTTACTTAAGCCGAACATTAAATTTGAAAATATTTTACCAAAGATCAACTGGGGCATTTTAAACGGAACATAATTTTATATAAGAACGATACTTAAGAAATATACTAATAATACACTATGATTAACTTAAACAATTGGTATTCAGTGCGAGTATGAGCCCTTTTGGCTTATTTATAAAGCGTTTAAACGCTTTTCATATTCAGGTCATTTTTTACAATAAAATTGAGAATTCTGTAAAAAAACAGTACAGAGCGAGCAAATGATTTGAAATTTCCTACACAAGTTATTAGTAATTTACTCTCATCAAATGGTATAAAAGTCCTTCCATGTCTGCGTCAAAAAACAAACAAACAAGATTTCAGTCGTGTCCCTTTAAACAAAAACTCAGTCGTGTCCCTTTAAATGTCTGAATGCAAATGGGAGACAATTTACGTTATATAACATCGGTCACTTTGTATTACTTTATAAACATACATGTAAACCCCTATATTGGAATAATGCATGTGTCCTCGTTTAGGATTTGGAAAAGTCCATTGTTATTTTGAAGGGTTTTAATATTGAAAAAAACCTGAAATTTAGCAGCCGACAATAACGAGCAGCCGACAACAGTTAATTCTGATCATACCGAGAGTTAAATCAGAATTAAGCAAACATAATTAAAACAACAACAACAACAACACCACCACCACCACAACAACACCAGCAAACCTACAAACAATTTTGTAAATAAGCAGTAAAATTTTAAGACCTTTTTAACAGTGAGATCTGAGGCATAAACTTAACCAGGCGTGGAAACATGCGTACATCTATTACCTTGAATATGTGAAACGACAAAAAATGGTGTTTAGATGAGAAAGCATAAATAGCACACGAGTTAAAACATCCGTTTCAAAAGTTTAAAGGCCCATTTAGCTTCAGAAATACGTTTATTTTTTATTTCTCAAAAGCTTTTTAATTTTCGATGTACATTTATAGCATCCAAAAAGTTATTCATTGGCCGATTACCTGAAACATCTCTCTTATGTGATGCTTTTTGGCAATACGTACAATTATAAGTAATAAGCATTTTGTATGGAAGTCAAAATGCTACTTTGTTTACATTTTTGCTACTTTTATGACAAATTATTTCACATGTATCGCTACTTTCTTCACGTAACAAGCATCTAACATTCTCTACAACCATTATTGAAACATTAAAAGTATAAATTTTGCCTTTTCTAAAGCAGTAAAATTTTTCATGTTTCTCAGGTATAATGGGCCTTTAAACAGAAACGTTGTAAACATTCAAAAGGCAATATAATATGATTCTTTTTTTTCAACATGCACGATGCAAAAGCGTAACTTAAATATTTATGTTGTATCAAAATACCTAACTATATCAACTTAAAAGCATTTTATATAAAAACAAGATTCCCACGAGAAAATTGCGTTTTCCTTGGAGTGTTGCTTCCATGGAAACAGTTTTTTTTCTCATTTTGCTTTTATACCCAAGAGTTATAAAATAAATATACATGTATATAGGTTAATTAACTGATTAATTAAACAATAAAGTAATCAATACTTGTAGTTTGATTCCGATGACAATTCAGGATTGAGGTCGTAATTAAAAGAAAATTGTTTTGCAGTAACGCAATCCACTTTCTTTTTCAGCTGGTAGGCAGGCACGTCAAGTATTTTTCTTTTGTTAAAGCCCTTTGTTTATCATCACCCAAAAGAAAGATGTTGTTCTGAATATTAACATAGCGTACTTTTAGCCTCACTGCATAAAAAGATCCTCTTATTCTAAGGGCAAATACATATAAAATATACAATTAATAAATCAATATATAAGAGTAGGTGTAACCGAAAACCAAAACATTTTTAATGCTCGCCTAAGTGCTAGTGAAGCTTTTTTTCTTCTTCAAGTATGTTTAAATTGGCGTCTATAAATTGTTTCCGCCTTCGCAAAAACACGAGATATAACTTAATATTAACAAGGGGAATAAAACAGCAATTTATCGGTACTAAAAAAACGACAGTTTAATTTGTTAAACAAAATCCACCATACGATCTGTAGAGAGTTGTTGACATATCTTAAATTAAATATGATACATAAGAACATGAAAACAGTTTTTATTCGGTTTTAAAGTCATAGTCAAATGGCGATTTTGCAGCTTTCCTGATGCAGAAAGACCTTAACTGCCCCTTTGAGCTTTATTTCAGGCACGAACATGTACGAGAGTAGAGTCACCGACCCTCGGCAAGCTAGCTTTCCTATACGTTAAAATCTGAAGTCCCTAGCGGGATGCGAACCCACAGTGGTGAGGGGCCAAGTGGTTTGAAGTCAGCCACTTTAACCAATCCAATCGGCCTCGTACTTAACATGAACAGTGGGTTACATTGAAACAAACAGCCTGTTCTACAGATTTTTAAGAATGTTTTTAGTTCGTCTCAAAAGCGCTGTATAAATATATAAAACGACATGGCGTAAATCTTGCTGTCATCATTGAAAAAACGGTATCTCTGTTTTCTATGTTTATTTTACAAAAAAAGTCCTCTGGTTTATTTCTCATTAGCATATTAATTAACTAAAACGACATTAATGGACTTGTAGCCTTAATTCGTCGTTGATTTATGCAAATTACAAATGCAGAATAAATTATGGTGATATTTAGTTACGCTTTATCAAAGCGGTCCCAACTGCATAGAATTTATTTGAGAGACAACTTAATACTGCCGTGAAATATGGAGACAAAAATGAAGTAGAAAATGTCACAGTCGGACGAGATATTAAAGGGACTCTACTAAGGTTTTTTTGACATGACATCACGGTTCTGGAATTAATTTTTGAGAAATAATGTACCATTTGATACAGGTCTAATTATTTTAAATGTGAAAAATGATCCTAAATTGAAAAGCGAGTGCACTGCTTTTCTCTAAAATCAGGTTAAGAATAGCAAAACAAATACGATTTTCTAATTTATTTCTGGATAACTTTCTTTTTTTATATCTTTTGCATATCTTGGTGTCTTAAGCGCCCAAGTTGATCTATTTCAGAAATTAAAATTTTATGTTTTTTATGCTTTGGGACCCAGTAAAATTTATTTATTAAGACAGTGAAATCAGAAAAATAGCTCATCTTCACATCATATCAATTATGATGATTAACGATCCCTTATAATGCTGCCCTCACACATAAACCACGACCTTACTGCGACCTGAAAACTAGTAAAATAGCATTTTTCTTTCGAAAATCGTTGGTTTTCTTTCAAATTTCCAAATTTCTCTCGCAGAAAATTTCTCTCGCACACGGTCCGGGGCTCTGCAAACTTGTGTTCAGTACGTTTTCTCTATGTCCTCAATACGACCCTTGGCGTCCATGGCGTTTCCACTGCGACTGTGTTGCGTCCCCAAGGCGACCCCACGGCGATCATCGGCGACCCAGCTGCGACTGTGCTATGTTCTCTGCGTCCTTACGGCGACTCTACGACGACATTGCGTTGGTCCGGCGACTGTCCTGCGACTGTACGACGACCCTACTACGTTCTTGCAACCTAACCAGGACTCAGCAAGAACGCAGAGTTTCTGCAACTGTTTTGTGCATGTTCAAAATAGTCGCCGACGGTCTGCGACCTTGTGCGTCCTTGGGTTCCTCGCTACGACCTCGCTGCGTCCTTGCTGCGTCCATGGCGACTGTGCTGCGTCCTGGGTCGTAGCAAGGTCGCAGTAAGGACGCAGTAAGGTCGCGAGGTATGTGTGAGGGCAGTTTTACAGAAAGTAACATAAAAATTCTTAGCAGAAATCTTTTTATGAGAGATAATGAAAAGTCACAAAGTATCCACTTAAAATTGGCTTAGGAAGTATCTAATATTCAACACTTCCACTATTTAAACCATTTATATACTTGAGAATATGCACAACATAGGGACGAAGTACGTAGGAACCTTTTCTTAAAGCTAAGATTTCTTAAAGCTAAGAACCTAAATCTTATAAGTGTGCCCAGGCCAAGCTGAAATTTATTTTGTGCAGTAAATATTTTGAAGGGGGGGGGTTAGTTTTTTTTAAATCAAACATTATTTGGTAGAACAATATATCAAATAATTATGAGACATGTATAATTAATACGTCGTAGAAACAATTGCGAATGGTTGACGAGTTTTAAACTGTTTCTATGATTACATTTAGTGCCACGTAACTAAATTACATGTACATGTATACAGATTTACGTGAATTCGTAGTTCTTAATTTTGTGGGTTTTTTCTTTTCTTCATTAAGTTTTCTTTTTGCTCTTTGCTCCAAAAAATGCGTAAAAAATTGCAAAATGGCAATCGATTAAATCTAGGCCGATTTCAGACCACTATTGATTTTCTTCACCGCATTTCATATAAACAAAGCAGTTTCCAGGTCACTTAAAGCTATCAATGGAAATGTGGTGAAATAATTTCTTTTCAAAACTGTAAAAAGTATAATTTACATATTCTAAAAGGTTGTTCGCTTCAAAGCGGTGGTCTAGTTTTTCTCTCCCAAAGAAAAAACAAATACTGTTATTCTACATAGCTTTAAACATAGAAAATACGTGTAGAAAATACCAATACATACACATACTGCTTTTATATACTAAATCAACATTGTAACACGTTTGTTAACTTTTGCGAAATAAAAATGTAAACATACATGTATACACACAGCACATGACCTACCTTCTAAACTTTGCGTTATCCTTCTTAAATCCTTCATCTTTAGTTTTCGGTAAAATAAAAAACAATATTTTGTACCGTTTCTTAGTTTTTGCACTCATAATGATTTATTTATAAACATATAAACAACATACGTGTGCGCTGTTCAATGCAAGAGCCCGATCTGACGGCGAATGTTCTTGCTTAAAAACCACTATAGCGCGTTATTTAGGCCATGCAAAAAATCACAACACATATACAGTCAAGAGCGCTTCTCAATGTCTCGTAACTAGGTGTATACAGGTCGATATCACGTGGAAAATAAATAATGCGTAGTTAAATGTCATATATCTGATTGAGAAAAAAAGAACACAAGCTGACTGCGTTTGAACAGTTTATTTCCCTTTGTCAATGATGAATATTGTTGGTGGTTGATAAATGCTTTAACTTTTATGACTCTTAAGTAGCTATCTTTTAATAGCTTTTTCAAAAATTTGACAAAAAT